GTATTACAATACAGAATAAGCAATTTAAATTTGAATATTTTCTCTTATATGTTTTATGCCAAATGGGACTTTGAATGTTTCTATTAATTTTGTGTATGTTCAGAAAAGTTAATAAACAAGAAATACATGAATAGGTATAAATTGGATGGTTGCATATGGCTTCATGTAAATGAACTTTTTCTCATGCGTTTATTCTTTTGCAGACTCATACTGTAATTATCTGTAAGATTTGTAGCTTTCTCATTTACACTTTTCTCTTATATCTACAGATATATTTCGTGTGTCCACGTAGAAAAATGCAAACGTGGCTACATGCAGTGAACAAGGAAGGATGTGGTAGACACGCGCACTTTATCTGAGTTCTGATCAAAACTCAAAGACTATTTCCCCTTGTCTTAAACCATGAGATGGTTCGGTTTGAAGCAAAAACAAAGTTTCATTAGAGTGGTAACAAAATTAACAGTTTATTTTTAACCATGATTGGTGATATTTGCAAATGACAAATAGAATTACACTTAACATATCAAATGTAGGTAGCTCTATTGATCGTTGTTACTATCCAAACAATGTTGATGTCCAAAAACTAAGGTACAAACCTGTGTGGAAAGGCCGAAGATATGGAGAAGTCGCTCTGACTACAAGCGCTTCAGTAAAACAGATCGATAAGAACATTTGGAATCGAATCAATGTGATCCCTAGCACAGGAGAAAACAGTTACTTAGAGACCATCGAGATTCGGCTCTACTCGCTTATAGATCATTCTCTCTGTTTTCTTGAAGTTACATTTTGATTTTTCAATTTTATGTTTAGCAACCTCTAGAATGACACATTTATTATATAAAAAGTTTTTCTGAATAAAATTTTACATTTACTATTAAAAACAAGATTTATGAGTTTCGCTCTAGAAAATCTCAATTAACCTAATAAAAGAAAATACATTTAACATATGTACAATTTATAAAATTAATAACAAAATTGATTTGGGAGACTACATATATGTCATTAAGAATCTGATGACAAATATTAGTCATGTGACAAATTTAAGATAAGTAAGGTTTAACATTAGAAAAAAAATAAGGGTAACATTTAAAACATACATTTTGCAAACTTATGGTTACTGTTTGTAGAAAATTAATAAATTTTAATAGCTATCTTATAGTAAATGGTAAAAAATCTCTAAATCTTAACATACTATGAAATTCATTATATTAAAATGAAACTCAGTG